ATAAGATTTTCAAATATGGCTTTTTAAACTATATGTTATTAAGTTATAAAAAGAAAAGTAGGGGTAAGTGGGCAAAATTTTTAATGGCCCTACATGGATAAAACCAGAGAATTCCGAATATCTGGCAAAAAATTAAACTAGAGGCTCTCAAGAGCCTGTGTCGCTCACCTGTATTTACTGATGCTTTGGAAATCATGTAAAATAAGGTTAAAATCATAATTAATAGTATTTGATATTAGATATTATAATGATATCTAAGATAATAACAAAAAACTGCAAAACTTTTGTTAAAAATTACTAACCCAGGGGCAGCAACCCAACAACGAGTTGTCGGATTTGTCTGAAAATTTCAAGGCAGATAAATCTTAATCTGATGAACATTTTTGACACCTGTCAGATTTGCTCTAAATGCTTTAGTTTCACAGATATAAACCAAAAACTGCATTTTACCCCTATGTTCTATTTTTAACCAAGTCGGCCATGATGGTTGGAAGGCGGGGTCATCGGACAAATTTTTTTAACTAGATACCCTAATAATGATTATGGCCAAGTATGGTTAAATTTGTCTCAGTAGTTTCAGAGAAGAAGATTTTTGTAAAAGATTACAAAAATTTACAAAAAATTGTTAAAAATTGACTATTAAGGGCAATAACTCCTAAAGGGATCGACTGACAATTTTGGTCATGTTGACTTATTTGTAGATCTTACTTTGCTGAACATTATTGCTGTTTACAGTTTATCTCTATCTATAATAATATTCAAGATAATAACCAAAAACTGCAAAATTTCCTTAAAATTACCAATTCAGGGGCAGCAACCCAACAACAGGTTGTCAGATTTGTCTGAAAATTTCAGGGCAGATAGATCTTGACCTGATAATCAGTTTTACCATATGTCAGATTTACTCTAAATGCTTTGGTTTCAGAGATATAAGCCAAAATCTACATTTTACCCCTATGTTCTATTTTTAGCCATGGCGGCCATCTTGGTTGGTTGGCAGGGTCATCGGACACATTTTTTAAACTAGATACCCTAATGATGATTGTGGCCAAGTTTGGTTAAATTTGGCTCAGTGGTTTCAGAGAAGATTTTTGTAAAAAGCTAACGACGACGACGACGGACGACGGACGACGGACGCCAAGTGATGAGAAAAGCTCACTTGGCCCTTCGGGCCAGGTGAGCTAAAAAAAGAGGAGTGAAAATCCTTAATGATACTTTTATTAACAGAAGTGTAAGAAAAATTCCAGTTCACTTCAACTCCTGAGAAGGGTTATAATAATACAAAAATATTTGCAGTTTTTACATATCTAGTATAGTTTTCAAGATAAAACAAAAAAAAACTGTAAAATAAGTGAAAAAACATCATTTAAGCACAATAACTCCTATAAAAATCCTATGATAAATTTGATGCTTACAGAAATAATGTAGATATTGACATTCTGAGCATTTTTTGTCCCATACGGGTTTTCTGTATCTGTTATAGTCTTCCAGATATAAGACAATTGATGCATTTTACCCTTATGTTCAATTTTTAGCCATGGCATTCAGTAGTTTCAGGGAGGAAGATCTTTGAAAAAGTATATGATAGACAAGTAAATTAGTAAATAAATGCAAAGATGATGCCCCCACTTGCATACAACATTATAAAGGGACACAACTCAATAAAATGCTCCGCTGGGGCGCAGCTTGATACGACCGCAGAGGTCGAACCCTGAAAAGTTGGGGCAAGTATGGACACAACATTCAAGCTTGATACAGCACCGAATTTGGATTGTAATTAAATATTTGACACAGCCTAGGTTTCTGACACAGAATGAATGTGGTCTAAGAACTTAAAAAATTTTAATTTACCTATTCAAACCATATCATTATTATTTGCTTTATATATAAATCAGAAATAACCAATTTAAAATGGAAAATTTTAAAGAAAAAAACGAAAAAAGAATCCCCCCCCCAAATTTTTTGAACCCCCTTATGATTCATCACCCCCAAACTCAATCCCAGCCTTCCCTTTGTGGTATGGTACCTTGCAGTACAATTTCAGAGAGATTCATACACTTGAACACCAAGTTATTGTCTGGAAACTAGAAAAATGCTTGTTTTTTGGCCCCTTTTTGACCCCAAATTCCTAAATGTTTAAGGCAATTACCTCCAAACTCAAACCCAGCTTTCCCTTTGTGATATGGAACCTTGTAGTACAATTTCATAAAGATCCATACACTTACACACAAGTTATTGTCCTGAAACTAGAATAAAGCTTGTTTTTGCCCCTTTTTGGCCCCTAATTCCTAAAACTTTGAGGCAATTACCCCCAAACTCAATCCCAGCCTTCCCTTAGTGGTATGGTACCTTGCAGTACAATTTCAGAGAGATCCATACACTTGAACTAAAGTTATTGTCTGGAAACTAGAAAAATGCTTATTTTTGGCCCCTTTTTCCTAAACGTTTAAGGCAATTACCCTCAAACTCAAACCCAGCTTTCCCTTTGTGATATGGAACCTTGCAGTACAATTTCAAAAAGATCCATACACTTACACACAAGTTATTGTCCTGAAACTAGAAAAATGCTTGTTTTTTTGCCCCTTTATGGCCCCTTATTCCTAAAATTTTGAGGCAATTACCTCCAAAATCAATCCCAGCCTTCCCTTTGTGATATGGTACCTTGCAGTTCAATTTCAGAGAGATCCATACACTTGAACACAAGTTATTGTCTGGAAACTAGAAAAATGCATATTTTTAGCCCCTTTTTGGCCCCTAATTCCTAAATGTTTTGGGTAATTACCCCCAAACTCAATTCCAGCTTTCCCTTTGTGATATGGAACCTTGTAGTACAATTTTATAAAGATCCATACACTTACACACAAGTTATTGTCATGAAACTAGAAAAATGCTTGTTTTTTGCCCCTTTTTGGCCTCTAATTCCTTAAATTTGGAGGCAATTACCCCCAAAATCAATCCCAGCATTCCCTTTGTGATATGGAACCTTGTGGTACAATGTCAGAGAGATCCATACACTTACACACAAGTTATTGTCATGAAACTAGAAAAAATCTTGTTTTTTGCCCCTAATTCCTAAAATTTGGAGGCAATTACCCCCTAAACCCTCCCAGCATTCCCTTTGTGATATGGAACCTTGTGGTACAATGTCAGAGAGATCCATACCCTCACACACAAGTTATGTCTGGAAGTTACAAAAATGCTTATTTTTGGCCCCTAATTCCTTAACTGTTGGTACCATAACCCGCAAAATCAATCCCCACCTTCCTTTTGTGGTATTAAACCTTATGGTAAAATTTCATAGAGATCCATTCACTTAAACTAAAGTTAGAGTGCGAAAACCAATGTGTCTTCGGACGACAACGACAACGACGACGCCAACGTCATACCAATATACGACCGCAAAATTTTTTTGCGGTCGTATAAAAACAATAAAAGTGATGCTACCCAAATTTGTACTTGATCTGAGTTTTGTGGTAATAAGTATTGTGTATAGGTTTCATAATGTTTGGTTGGGGCAAACTTCAGTTACAGAATTTTTTTGATTTATAAAGGGGCATAACTTGATAATGGTTAAAGTGACGCCACCAAAATTCAACTTGATCTGTGTTTTGTGGTAATGAGCATTGTGTATGTTTCATAACATTTGGTTGAGGCAACTTAAGTTAGAGAACAGAAACTAAAAATTTTGCATTTTTTTTTTCATTTATAAAGGGGCATAACTTGAGAATGGTTAAAGTTACCCCACCAAAATTCAAACTTGATCTGTGTTTTGTCGTAATAAGCATTATGTATAAGTTTCATAACATTTGGTAGAGGCAAACTTAAGTTAGATAAAGGAAACTAAAAATTTCGTAATTTTTTCATTTATAAAGGGGCATAACTCTAGAACGGTTAGAGTGACGCTACCAAAATTCAAACTTGATCTGTATTATTTGGTAATTAGCATTGTGTATAAGTTTCATTACATTTGGTTGAGGCAAACTTTAGTTAGAGAACGGAAACTAAAATTTTTTGAATTTTTCCATTAATAAAGGGGCATTACTCTAGAATGGTTAAAGTGACGCCACCAAAATTCAAACCTTATCTGTATTTTGTGGTAATGAGCATTGTGTATAAGTTTCATAACATTTGGTAGAGGCAAATTCAAGTTAGAGAACGAAAACCAATTTTGGGACGTACATATGTACAGACGGACAAGGGTAAAACTTAATGCCCCCTCCGCTATGGCGGGGGCATAAAAACATTAAAGGCTATTAATAGGTCAACCAATTGTATCACTTGTATAGGTATTTTTGTGTGTCTGTACTTTTGATCATTTTTGCTGTTTACAGTTTCTACCTATAAATCATAGTTTTTGAAATAATACGCAAAAACATGAAAATTAGTCAAAAATCATCTTTAAGGGCAACAACTCCTTAAGGATAACTTTTGTGCAAACAGGAAATGGGTAGATTATGACATTATATGAGCATATATGCCCCTGTCTGATTTTCTTTATCTATTATAGTTTTAAATATATTAGACATGTAATGCCTATAACCCTTATGTTCTATTTTTAGAAGTTTGTGCTTTTTTCACTTTTCATTTAAGCTCAATGTCATTTACCCATAGTTTGGCTGAAGTTGGTTCAGTAGTTGCAGAGAAGATCTTTGAGAAAGTTTACAAAGATGAGGGAAGCTGTTTCAAAACCTTAAGCATATATGATGAATTTTAATATAGAATTATTGATTGATTGTTGGAGTTGAAAACACTTGGCTATGTCATTGCAGCCAGTTTTTATTGGTGAGGGGAGCCAGAGTATCTAGAGGGAACTACAAACCTTCCACATGAAACTAGCAATCCTAGTCAATATAGTCAGACTCGAAAACACCTTGCCACTATAAATATAGCTAGCAGGGTTTTAACTCGCAACCTCAATGTTGACAGGCTAGTGATTGCTGAAAATGAACTTAGATCACTCAGCCCAATTTAACACAGAAATTCATTCCATAAAACAAAACTAAAATCTAATATTTTTATAATTGCATTTTAAAATTTTTCAGTGCTTGTATAAGTACACAAAAATACCATTCATAAAATGTATAAAAGGTAGATACATGGGACAATATTTTGAAGATCTGTTTTCAAGTAAAGTTCTTGATATATCAGTATACATGTGCTTTTCAAAAATACACAATAAGTATTACAGTATTGTGTTTCATAGTTTGCAAGTCAGTTTTTAGGCCTTCTACACATACATGTACATTTGATTGAGTTATAATCCACCACATAAAACAGTGCTCACATTCATACTAGAAATTGCATCTGCAAGCCATAAAATACATTGCAGAGCTGTGCCCAATATACTTCTATAAATTAGGATTAGTTTTTTTCAAAATCTAAAATATTGTCTTTGTCATGAAGTATTATCTTCTGTTAATCCATAACTACTCAGTAACTGTACTGTACTTTTGAGGGAACTGTAACATAAAACAAATGGTTAATTACATTTTTGTACATTACTTTTAAGAGGGTTTGCTGTTGAAATTCAAAATAGTGACATTTTCATACTTGAAAACTTTTCATTACCTCTGCAGATGGACTGATAGTCGCTGAGGGTATCACCAGCCAAGAAATGAACATAATTATATTTTTTGGAAAAAATTTTGTTTTATATTTGGAAATCATTCTAAATTCAGGAATGAATCTTCCTCATGCATAGCTCAGATTCCTTGTCTGGATTTTGCTTTACTGTTGTATTAGGTTTTAGACTTTCAAATATTTTGGCCTCAAGCATCACTGAAGAGACATTCATTGTAGAAATATACATCAGGTGCAGTTAAACTGGCACCCTTAATGTTATTGCAATGGGAAAATATAGATAGTTCTGTTTCTTGCTTTTGAGGTACAAGCATGTAAAAATCTAGAATTTTCTAATTTTGAAAAAAATTGATATGATTATACTCACACTTCACTGGTGAATTAAAAATATAAACATTTACAGTCCCACTTTTACAATTTTACTAATTTTAACATTACACAATTATATCTGAATTATGGAAGGCAATTTTTTTTTATTTGTTAAAAAATCAACTGAACTAATTTCCATATTTGAACTAGATTTGTATTCTTCAATAGATGATTATAAGATGTTTTCCATGGATGCAATATATGTTTTTATTGAATAACACAACAAATGTCTTTTTGTCCAGCAAAGTAAAGATGATAATGTGCAAGATGCTAAGACACCAGGACTTTTAGAGCGACCATCTCTTGTCTGTGGGGTTAGGGGCAAACATCTGTTTTTTTTATACCAGCAATTGTATTCATCCAATGGCACAGCTCACCTTGCAAAAAATTTAAATACCTTGAGAAACCACAACTAATTCTGGGGAAAGGTTTTATTTCGTTTGCAATAATTATATACATATACACATGCAATTTTCTTTTACCTGCCATCCCTTATTATTTTGTATACTCCTTTCTTAGATAAATCTACCACTGTTGAACCCTGTCTGGAGTGGAATGTATCACCAAGCATACCATCATCAAATACTTTATCTAGTTTAGGCCACAAATTCTCAAATTCCTGAAAAAAATATGCAGATGGTAAATTTGAGCAATTGGCAGTAAAATTAAATATATGCAACTACATGTTAGTATGATCACAGCAGATCATGTAAAATTAACATTTACTGGTATATATATATATATGGTGTTCATAAATTATATACTGTTATTGGATTTCTCAGTCATTAGGGTGGAACCCCTGAAAAGGGAACAAAAATATAAATAACAAGAGGCTCTCAAGAGCCTGAATCACTCACCTGTAATTTTTTGCTTTTCAATATATATTAATGAATGGCTTAAAACTTCCATTGAAATGTTCTTTGTATCTGTCATATTTTCTTCAAAATCAAAGAAATGCATTTCACTCCCATGTTTCATTTTAGCCAAAGTGGCTATGTTTCTTGACGTACAAGAAAATAAAATATAAAATTTATACTATATACTCTGAAATTGATTCAGCAGGTTCAAAGTTAAAGATTTTTTAAAGTAAGCAAACTAAATGAACAAATTGTGAAAAATTGATTTTAAAGGGCAATAACTCCTTAAGGGGACAATTGACAATTTTGGTCATACAAAACTTATTTGTAGATCTTACTTTGCTGAACATGTTTGCTATTTACAGTTTATCTTTATCATTAATAATATTCAAGATAATATCCAAAATCTGCAAAATTTCCTTAAAATTACCAATTAAGTGGCAGCAATCCAACAATGGGTTGTTAGATTCATCTGAAAATTTCAGGGCTGACAGAGCTTGGCCTAATAAACATTTTTACCTCTCATCAGATTAGCTCTAAATGCTTTGGTTTTTGAGATATAAGCCAAAAACTGCATTTTACCCCTATGTTCTATTTTTAGCCATGGCGGCCATGTTATTTGACGAAACAATTAATAAAACACAACTTTATTCTAGATACCCTAAGCATCATTCAGCTTAAGTTTGGTTGGAATTGGTTCAGTAGTTTCAGAGAAGAAGATGTTTGAAACAGTTTACACCAGACGGACAACGACGGACGCCAAGTGATGGCAAAAGCTCACAGTTCCTTCGGAATGGTGAGCTAAAAACAGAGTATCTGCATTAATGGGCATGTTCCATTTTAAGAGCAAGTTAAATACAGGAGAGTTTGTATTCACAGACATGTACTTTTAAAAGGCATTTTATAAGGGCACATATGAAAGTAAAATTAAAACAAAAACAACTGAATGTCTGTCACCAATTTACCATTACACTTTACTAGTGAATATTGATATCTGAAAATGTTACATTTGCCAACTATCACGTCACTTTCAATCAACTTCTGAAACTTTTTTCTTATCAAGCAGTACTTGAATATATTATTTATCAACATATTACACTAACCTCCACCCTCAAAGTACTTTGTGCTGAACTGATATTAGCACTAGTAAGAGCCAGAGGTTCCTGACAGCTTCTGGCAACTTCCCTGATGAATTCATGGTCTGGTATCCTAATACCAACAAGAGATGTTTTGGGATTTAGTTCAGGGTTAAGGTCTGATGTCCTGTTGAGCACAACTGTAACTGGTCCTGGTAATAACTTGGACAGTAAAGCTTGAGGTACTGTGACTTGTCCCCATCTTTAATGAAGAAAACATTTCTGACACAACGCAATACTAAATTTTTTATTCTTTAAGACAAAATAAATGTTTGAAAGCACTTTTTCAACATCTCCTCCATATTTCCCCCTTTCAAAATCTAATTTCAAAAGACATGACTCTCAAACTATGATTTAAAAGAACAGATCTATTTTATGATAAACAAGTAAAATGCTGGTACTGCCAAATGCACAAGGCGGGGAGGAACATAAAAATGAATGAACATGTAATTTACAAACGAAAGTGAACCAACGCCTGGTGAATCTGTAGTACGGTAGAGTCCCTGAAGTGGATACCTCAGGTATGCAGGGTCATTATGATAAAGCACGTAAAATGTAGAAAGTCTTATAACAACAACACTTTAGGGACTGCTGCAGAAAATTTATTGATCAACAATTTATAAATATGTCGATCAATAAAATTTCTGCAGCAGTCCCAAAAGTGTTGTTGTTATAAGACTTTCAACATTTTATATAATTAATTTGTAGAGGTCAACTTTGCTGTTTATGGATGTAACTGTTTGATGTGTATGTTCTTTGATTAAAAAAACAAATGAAACAAACAAATTATCTGATGTACATGTATTTAAAGAGCAGCAAAAACTTTTAAATAAAAATGGCACTTCAAGGATAATTCTAATTGAATGATTTACCTATACACATCAGATATGTCAGCTACACTTATTGCTACAGGTTTGTTGTAGTCTCTGTTCTTTATACTATACAGTCTATCAACAGCTTCAGAATTCTGTACAAGGCCTGCTACACCATATATTGTATCTGTAGGAACAGCTATAATGTTCCCACCTTTAAGACTGTTAACTGCTACAGAAACAAGTTCTTGCAGTTCTGTAAATAAAGAATATAAAGACCTCAATTATCAAGTACTTATACATTGTAAGCTATACATTTTTCAATTATCAGGCATCTGATCAGATAAGACAAAATTTTTGCTTTTCTTGTTATTTAAAAGTTTTGTTGGAACAAGATAGGGAACAAGACTATTTCTCAGAAAAGAACCATTAAAGTCAGACTGTTTCCCCCTGTTTAATCCAGTCAAAAGCCTTTTAAAAACTAAAACTATTTGCTGACCTATATATAGCTACCTACATTGTACCATAATTTTTTCAGGTTGTTAGTGAAAAAAAAATAATGAATAATCTATACTCCCTTTGGAGGATCTGGTGACAAATTTAAATCAGTATAAATGGAATTTGTAAAATCTAAAGTATGATCGATTGATTGACGACATTATTTTGAATCGATACGAAAATGAGTGTAATTGTGTCTGTTTACATATAAAATATATTATTTTCCATACTGGACATTAGTGTTTGCATACGACAAAACATTTTCAAAGTTACGTAATTAACAAGGTCTTTATAGTTTTATCTTTAGTTTGATGTTATATTAATTAATTGTGATATTAAAAGAAAACACATTCTGTCTCCTCTTTTATAGAAAGGATTAGGCAAATCAAACAACATTTCTCAATTCTAGAAGTTTTTAAAACTTATAATGAAAACGTAATCAACATAGTTGTTTTATACTCATCCAATGAAAATAATCGCCAAAGGCCAACTTTTTTTTATTGGTACAGCTTTATCATTATTATAAAATTCATAAACATTTATGAATTACAATATATATCTTCTTTTTTATTCCTTAAAAATATATTCCTTTATTGGGGCCGGGTCGACGTTGGGCCGGATCGACGTGGGCCGGATCGACTTGGGACGGATCGCCGTGGGGCCGGATCGACATGATAGCAAATGAAATGTGCCAATGCTAATCATTGCTACTATAAATACAAAAACATACCAAATATTATTAAAATGATATGAGCAAATCGGCAGATGCAATACTGATGATGTTGCCCATTGATATAAATCATGAGTTAATATTGCTTTTCGGCCCATTCCAATATGGATAAAAAAGCTGTATTGGCCCATGCATAAAAGCAATACTATGATATAGCATTACTTGATTATTTCTGTATTGGCCTTGTTATTGGTTTGAGGCTTGCTGTGATGGTCTAAGGCAAAGCACCATTATATATACCCAAAAACAGGTAAGAATGGAATAGAACTTAGAAGACAAATTAGCCTTTCATAAACTGTTAAAATTTTGAAAGTATCTTAACTTTAAGGTAGTTGTACATGTGATAGGTCCATTGTGTCACAATATTTAATAAAAAAAAATACACCATTTTGTTAACATTTCAAGTAACTAGTTATCGTCACATGATCGGTACTGTAAAATACAGAACTTTTCTGTCAGTTTTTCAACAAATCGATTTTCTGTGCCATCTGAAAAATAGAATTTGTCCTAAAGATATGATTCGATCATCTACATGTATAGGACAAATTCTATTTTCCGCAGAGTGCTTGTCAACATGGTCAATGGCACTGAAAATTGATTTGTTGGAAAAATGACGTAAAGTTCTGTATTTTACAGTACCAATCGTGACAAAAAATGATAAATGGGAATAATACCCATTTATGAGGATCTTCCCCAACCTGTTGTCAGTGTTGAGGGGCAACCTGGAGAAGGCAAAACTTACTTTGATAACATCCAGCATGAACCCAAATTGAAGTTTTTAAATCTGTCAAAAACTAACTATTGCATAATTTATCATGGAAGAATGATTACAATGCATGGGTACATGTACTTTACCATTTTCAGAAACTTTAACAATCTTGTTCATGGTAGAAATGTGTAGCCTGCTGATTGATAACAATTTCACAAATGTCTGAAATGTTGTAATCATAAGTTGTTTTGCATAATAAAAATCATAGTATCGTAAAATGTCTAGTAGATTTCTCAATATTGCATCATTTCTGTTATTTCTGAAGGAACACACGTGTTTGTTTACATTTTTTCAAAGTTGATAAATTTCTTTCGAAAAGCGCTCAAATGTAAATTCAGTTCAAACGTTTACGTGACCACAACAAAACAGATGAAATTTCTCGGATTTTATCGATCAAAATTGAAGGTAGCTCTGAAAATATACAAAAATGGCAATAAGAAATGGACAGATTTGTCTTTCACAAGTTTTAAACCTTAAATCCAACTCAGCTCGCAGAAATTTGTTTTGCATTCTGAAAAGAAAAATAATTTCGCATAGTTCTGAGGCTAACACCACAAAAACTATTTCAAATGTCAAGGAAGAGCATCAAAATGATCACAAAAAAACAATTTTGAAATCTGGACCTTCCTTAGAACATTTTATTGCAAATCATACCAGTGTTTCTCAGAATGTACAGACAACTGGAGCAACTGCGGTTTCTTTGCCATCTTATATCAAAAAGTCTACTTTGGATGGACAGAATCGAAAAGGCATGCAGGCTATGAAATGATCTGAAGAATTTTATGAATCCTGGTAGTTTTGTCACGATTCCTCGCACCCTCAGACATTTCCCCATATTCCTGTTCACCCTGGGTTGTTTGGCACTGTCCTGATCATTTCTGATGATGCTTAATTTAGAAAACAGACTTTAGACCCTCAAATATATAAAATAAATAAATTACACTACTGCCAAGGGGTCTTTTTGCTACATTTGTAGCTGTGAACCCCACCTATTTTTACACGAAACCTCTGATTACAATTAGGAATATGGCATTTTTTAAATAGTTTTTGCTTTTAAGTCATATTTACACTATTCAATTTGAAATGATCTATCCTTTATTCTTGAATCCCCTTTAAGCTTGACTTGTATTTCTGCTCTAATGTCAATGCTTGTCTTAGTGGAATTGTAATATATAAATATATACCTTAAAAATTGTGTATATTAAAAAATTGGGAATAACTCTTATAACCAAGCGTAAATTAGCAATGCACACATGATGTAAGAACTAAAACATCAACCATAATGAAGTAATTAATTTGTTTAATTGTTACAACAATTTATCAATGATGTTCAACAACAATGGCTGCTACCCTGGGGTCTGGAGGTTTATTGGGACAGATTATCTTGACATAAAATTTTCATGTTAATTAACAAAAACACATGTTAAGGCATGAATTAAAAATGTCATTGAATGTCTGTTGGTGAGATTTTAAGACTTACTATTTATTTATGAACATACAGTATTATTTCATGTATTTCATATATTTCACTTCTATTATCTAGTAAATTTACAAAACAATTGGATTAATACACATTATTAACTTAACCATGTTAATAGAGAATTAGATTTTAATTAAGCCTTGTAGAAGATTTTTAACCTCTTTCTTTCTTTCCTTTGTAAATTCCTCCACATCAGAGCACCCATGTCACATGGAAGGAAAATGTAAAAACCTTAGTTTTGAAATATTTAAATATATTTTAAAAAGTAAAAGTGATAATTAGATATATTTACAGTGGGCCATTATTTATCTGTTTATTATATGTTGATATGAGACATTTTTGTGCTCATTATACCTTGGATATTGTTCGTTTTAATTTTTATCTCACCCTGACATTTGATTTAATAAATTAGGCATCTCTTTTCTTCTTAAATCAGAGCAATAAATTCATGATTATTTAGCTGTCATATCGTTTATTTCATGTACAAAATGTACTATTGTTGACACCTCTTTGATCAATTCTAATTAAAGTCATGAAAATGAATTAAATGGATTGCTCATCTATTACATAATTTTATATTATGGATGCAATATCTCCTTACTATTATATCCACTTTATAAATATGAGATTTTGTTTTTTGAGAATCTATCTATAACCATGTTTATGTGGAAACAATGAACCATATAAGTTTAGGAAGATTGACCTTTTACAATGTTAAAATGTTATTTTGAAACATATATTTCTGAAACATAATTGAACTGTTTTATATTTAAAAAAAACTCAAATTTGGTTAATTATACGTACCAGTGCACATTTTATAACAGAACAAATTACATAATTTTTCAACTGAAAAACTTATCAAAAGAAATATTGGTAATGAATTGTTCACTTGCTAAAGCATGGACTACAACTGGTGGGTGTCATGGATGTTACCTTTTAGAATAAGAAAAAAAACAACAGGATGATAATTTGTAATTCTTACACATTTTACATGATTTAGGAACATAATGTAAATTCACTATTATGTCGAGGAGAAATAGTGAAGATTTACATACATATTCATATGAAAATTGCCAAATGAAACTTTAAAATGACAAATATTACAACACACATTCAATTTATATGGAATGAATTTTGGCATAGTCAAATATATGCTTTGTGGTTTCTATAAAAACATTTTGTATAGGAAGATGCAGGATTTTTTCATTGTATATTTTGACTTTCAGTTTATTTTGATGTACATGGATGTCAGATGAATGTTAATGATGTGGAGATTTCATGGTCAGTGTTGAAAAACAGTGGGTACACAAGAACTACAGAGCTAGGGCAGGTAAATTTCCAACTGTCAGTACAATTTAAGTTTAGTTTTTGATAAACAATTATTTCTGATCAGAAGACTTGTTCTCTTGACGTTTACAAGTGATAAATTATTTCAAATTGATGCTTTAACAGTTTTAGTTGTTATTTCATGTACCTATTTGATATTGGGTAGGGCATACATGTCTTGTATTATATACTGATATACACACAAGATCAATGAGACAGTAACCAAACAGCAGAAATTCATCAAAACAGAAATATAGAAGCAACTATATATTCTTTACAAATGGACACAAACCCATATCATTTGAGTGACATTATAACAACAGACATGCCTGAAATCTCCCATAGTTGATTCAAACAAAACAGTTGGTACCGTACTTTCAAGAGAAAAAAAATATCTGAAATTTGCCATGCAAATTTCTCGGCTTTCTCTGATATTTGGTCTGGAACTTAATAATGAGTAAGTGATTTTCAGATGTGCTGGGCAGTCATTTCCTGTTTGACAAGCCTACCAAGTATGGAATTTTTCATCACACATTTCTCAGCTTTTGTATTTTAAAGTAATGTTTTAAAATTTGGATAAAATATGTACCCTGTAAGCAATTTTAAGATCTGTTAAGTGCAGTCACTTCCTGTATAACGATACTTTATATAATTATTACCCTTTAAATAAAAAACAAGTAATTTATTAAATACCCATGACATCACAAATTATAAATGGAGTAATGACGTCATGAAAAAGGCCCTTCTAAGTGTTTTCATGAATAAACACAAAATTTGTTTTTTTTTATACGACCGCAAAATTTGCGGTCATATATTGGTATGACGTTTACGTCGTTGTCGTCATTGGCGTCGTCGTCCTCGTCCGAAGACACATTGGTTTTCGCACTCTAACTTTAACTCTAACAATAACTTTAGTTTAAGTGAATGGATCTCTATGAAATTTTACCATAAGGTTCAATATCACAAAAGGAAGGTTGGGATTGATTTTTGGGGTTATGGTACCAACAGTTAAGGAATTAGGGGCCAAAAAGGGGCCAAAAATAAGCATTTTTGTAACTTCCAGACATAACTTGTATGTTAGTGTATGGATCTCTCTGACATTGTACCACAAGGTTCCATATCGCAAAGGGAATGCTGGAATTGATTTTGGGGGTAATTGCCTCAAAATTTTAGGAATTAGGGGCAAAAAAGGGGCAAAAAACAAGCATTTTTCTAGTTTCAGGACAATAACTTGTGTGTAAGTGTATGGATCTTTATGAAATTTTACTTCAAGGTTCCATATCACAAAGGGAAAGCTGGGTTTGAGTTTGGGGGTAATTGCCCTAAATGTTTAGGAATTTGGGGCCAAAAAGAGGCCTAAAAACAAGCATTTTTCTAGTTTCCAGACAATAACTTGTGTTCAAGTGTGTGGATCGCTCTGAAATTGTACTGCAAGGTACCATACCACAAAGGGAAGGCTGGGATTGAGTTTGGGGGTGATGAATCATAAGGGAGTTCAAAAAATTTGGGGGAGGGATTTTTTTTTTCCTTTTTTTATACAACCGCAAAAATTAAAAAAATTTTGGTCGTATATTGGTATCATGTTGTCGTCGTCGTCAGCGTCGTCCTAAGACAGATGGTTTCCGGATAATAACTTTAGTATAAGTGAATAGAAATCAATAAAAGTTTAACACAAGGTTTATATCCACTAAAAGAAGGTTGGGATTGATTTTGGGGGTAATGGTCCCTAATGTTTAGGAATTAGGGGCCAAAAAGGGGCCCAAATAAGCATTTTTGTAGTTTCCAGACAATAACTTGTTAAAGTGTATGAATCTCTCTGAAATTATACCACAAGTTTCCATACTTCAAAGGGATGGTTTGGATTGACTTTGGGGGGTTATGGCTCAAACCAATTAGTAATTAGGGGCAATTTAAAAGGAATGTTAGGGAGGTAATCCAAATCAATTAAAAGAACACTGTTTGATTACCTCCCTTACACTGCTTGTAAATTATGTACTAAGAAATGATGATTGTCTTGAGGTGATTAGGCGTCAATTTATTTTTAGCAGTTACTTTTAATTAATATTAATTTTAGCCATGACTATGTATGTCATTTTTTTTTAAAATCTTTTATGATGTATTTAAAAGGGTAATTATGGTTGCAAACTCCATTAGATATTTGAATTGAAATACTAACCATATCTTGAGGGAAAGATTTTTTTTTGGGAATAAGGGAAAGGGGGGAGGTGAAAAAAATTGGCAACAGCATAGTGTATTGCACAAAAGCAAAAAATTTAATATAAATTCAAATCATATAACCAATTTGAAGTTCTTTGACTACAGTTATTCTGTGTTAGAAACCTATTATGTGTCAAAAATTTAGTTACAATCCAAATTCAGACCTGTATCAAGCATGAATATTGTGTCAATTTTGGCCCCAACTTTTCAGGGTTGGACATCTGCGGTCGTATCCAGCTGCGCTCAGCGAAGCTACCTTTCGACTGTAAAATCTATGTAAATTATCTTAATATAACAAATATATTGCAGTTTTAACAATTACTTTGGAGTTAAAATCACCTGGATTTGTAATACACTGTGTACTTCATTTGTAGGTCAAAAAAGAGCCCTTAGCGCACCTCTTCCTTTATTTTGTGTTAGTTTTAGGTTCATTTAATCAGGGCTTTAAAAAAAAAATGAAATGCAATGTACATTAATATGGGACAGAAATGACTCTCTCTAAAATTACAGGCAGATGTTATACTCATGATGACATGTTCTATTAGAGATGGGGCTGAACAAAAAATATGGAGGAAATTACATATTCTCAAACAGTATAAGAAAAAAAGACAGAGAAAGTCAGAAAATTTACCACCATTAAAAATTGGTATTTTAGGTATGCAAACATTTATCATTTTAGACCTGAATGAACTAATTATATGTTTATATCAAAATGGTACTTCATAATTTGCTGGAAACACATTGTACCTAGGTTTGAATACATGTATCAGTACAATCAGTCCTACAAAATATTAAAGGATATCAAAACACATAAGTCTTAAACAGTTTTTTTTCTAGGCTAATAAATAATTGTGAATATCAAACTATGACCCAAAAGGCCAAAACTGGATGAGATTTAAAGATCTTTAGCCATTGATCAGTTATGATACTTATGATATTTTATATGTATCCAATAATAAGAAGATACACTTAAATGCTATGAAGTATGGTTTTGTTTTAAACTAGAATTTGTCAATCTTATCCTTTTATATGGTACATTGTATATTGTTACATTATATCAGATCCATACATGTTAAAATCAAGCAGTATCTGATAGTCTGCCATTTAGGTCAAGTTTCCTTGACTTTAGAATTTTTAAACTGCCAAAATGTTAAATTTTGTTGTTGGACATGTTTTTAAAGAAATCTAAAATGTATGATAATGAACCATTCATATTGAAAATGTTGCAATATCTTCCTTGTATGATGGTCACATGTTGAATAGAACCACCTCCCCTTCAGTCATGCTTCAATGACTTCTTAATTTCCACTTTAATTAAATGTGAACTTTTCTGATCAAGAAAACCTATGATGATAGTTTTGATTCACTACATAATGTTACATAAGCATCCTTGCATGTCAATTTCAAGAAGTTTGTGAAGTCCATTTACCTCATTCGTAGTTATATACATGTATATATTTGTGTTAATTATTTTATTTTCATCATTAATCCCCCAGGCTGTATGGCAGAAAGGTTAAAGTCAAAGATTTTGGAACAAGAGAAAATGGTAGATTTGGTGTGTGGTCCTGATGCTTATAAAGATTTACCAAGAATGTTAGCTGTTACTGAGTCAGGACAGACTGCAGGTATACTAGTTATGTCTTTTACAGTAACAGTAACAGTTGGGCATCAGCTCATCTTTGTTAAGTACAAAAAGTCTTTTTCCAGCTCAAATGTCTACAAAAAAAATGAAAATAAGGAGATGTGGTATGATTGCCAATAAGACCACCATCCACCAGAGTTCAAATGAAGTGGATATAAGCAATTATAGGCAACCATATAGCCTTCAACAATGAGAAAACCATACTGTATAGTCAGCTATTAAAGAATGTTTTGTAGTTGAAGGAATGAAAACATGTAGAAACAGTTTTGCAGTAAAATGATTTGACTAGATGGTTATAATTAATGCAATTTACTGGCGAAACAGTTTAAAGCGACTCTTACACTAGAGTAAAAGGAGATTTGGATTATAATGTCAAACAAACAGCATCCCAACAACACAAAAAATAAAATTAGAAAAGAATAAATTAAAGGTCAATTATACTGCCTTCACCAGCAGACAATTTTCTATACATACTTTAAATCTAGCTAAAATTTACCCTCATATTATTTATAATTTTGAGAATGATTATATTTTTTAGTCAATGTACTGTTGTCTCTAGATGAAACTTATGCTGATATTATGCCTGTCAGACTTAATGAAAATTCACCATCTGCTTTTGTGTAAGTACTAAACTAGCCTAAATTGAAAACCATTCTGTTACCATGATCTAGTATTTTTTGATACAGTGCATTTTGAAAAAATGGGAGTACCAATTTTTTTTATCCTTTAAATCTATTCATGCATATCCAGCTGGAATTGTAGAATTTTGCAAAATTTATAACATACTAAATAACAACTACATGTGGCTTTTGATAAAAATTTGTTTGCAATATGGGAAAAATGTTGCAAGTAGGACTGCAAAAAAAATTCTCTTCCTACAGATTTCAACCATAAATCCCTGAAACTTCACGGAAAGATTGCACATATGTTGAAGCTGTGCAACTGCTGTTATAGAATTTTTTGAGGAATTTGCCCCATTTTGCAGACTTGGAAACTTCATCGTTTTCAGCAAAATGTATAAAATATAATACCAATTTTGTGTAATCAATTCCTAGAGTTTTCAACCAAGGTCCTTGATGAATGGATAGATGGATGGCTGTATAACGTGCAGTGGCAAATTAAATGCATATTCAGGATGAGAATCTTTTCCTTTTTATAAATCTACTTGAACCAAAATTGTTTGGAAACTCATTCGATTTTTTGAGAGGAAAAACTGGACTTCCAGAAACAAGTATAAATATGAATAAAGAAGATGTGGTATGCTTACCAATGAGACAACTATCCAACAGAGGCCAAATGAAGCAGATGTAATCAACTTTAGGGAACTGTATGGCCTTCAACAATGAGCAAAACCCATGCCACATAGTAAACTATAATAGGTCAGTACAATTTTAGACAGAAATGTAAAACAAGAAAACCAATGGTCTGATTCATTTACAAAACAATAAACCAAAATAAAATATGATAGAGAGCAACCGACCACAAACAATGAATTACAGGATCTTGACTTCTGACAATATTTGAATTTGACAAAAATGAAACTTGATAGGTTAATCTGATAATCTTAAAATTTTGTTTTCAGTTCGATAATGAGAGGCTGTGATAATATGTGTTCATACTGTATTGTACCATTTACTCGTGGAAGAGAGAGAAGTAGACCCATTTCTTCCATTTTAGATGAAGTCAGAATGTTGTCTGATCAGGTATAGAATTACTTTGTTGTATGTTATTGAACAATATCTATAATAGGAGTATTAGAATTTGTGCAAACTTTTGCTTGTTATAATTTCAAAAACATATAGTCTGTCCTACCAAGTTGTGTTTTTATTTGCAAGTAGAAATATGTTGTTTATCAATATTTCATGGTTGAATTTTAAAAATACTGGTAGAAAATGGCATTGTTCTGAATGTGAAATAGTCAAATGTTACATTCCCTAGAATTTAGTAGATCAAAGTACTGAACTATCACTTTAGTAAGTGGTATGTTGATCAATGAGTTACAGAATTTTTACTAGTATAAAAATAAAGAGATAAGGTATGACTGCCAATATGACAACTATTCTTCAAATCCAAAGGACAAGAATGTGAACAGCTAATAGCTATGGGTCATTGTAAGGCCAAGCATTTGATGAATTGTTTTTTTTTTCTTTTTCGATTTTTTTCTGCAAGTCACAATTTAAAAAAATTTGAAATAATGAGTATAAATAACCATTTCTTGTAGTGACACCAAGCATGTGTGAAATTCCTCCCTGGTGATGGCTTCTTATGTTGATTTGATGTCTGGCAACACATATTGGCCTTTATATGTCTTGTTTTTTTGTTGGTTTAGTTCCAAAATAGTTTACACTTTTATTTATATAACATTTTGAAAGTTCTCCAATGAGAAGCAACATTATAAAAATTATATTTTATTTGCCTAGGGAATAAAAGAAGTAACATTACTTGGACAGAATGTCAATAGTTATAGAGATACTTCTGACACTACAATTCACAACAGTATTGACACCAAACTGACTCCTGGCTTTAAAACAATATATAAACCTAAGACTGGAGGAAGAAGGTTTTCTGATTTACTAGATAAAGTCTCACAGATTGATCCAGAGATGAGGATAAGGTTCACATCACCACATCCAAAGGATTTCCCTGATGAGGTAGGTAACTATTATATACAAAATTTTGTAAATATGAGTTCACTTCTGGATTGTGGTGGTATCGCTGCGATATAGCCTTATTGTGCTGAGGTGACGTAAAGCAAACAACAATCAGTTAATCTGCTTTGTGTGAGGGTATGTGTTGCTCAATCTTTGAATTTCTTGTAAGTTTTATGTAGAACGTTTGTCTTTTTACATGCATCGCCAAGGGCGGAAGCAGGTCTAGTAACTGCTCAACTCTCTCTGTCTGTCCATCTATCCATCCGTCCAACAGAAAGAAAACTTTTGTCTTGGCTTCTATGAAAAGTAATGATTTAATATTTGGTCTGCAGCTTGATAGTTTTCAGTTATAGCGAGTAAGCAATTTTTACATCTGCCTTCTAGCCATCTCCTGTTTGCAGATAGTTTGAAATTTTAAAACACTCATTGTATAAGGAAAATTTTTATGTTCCGGTATACATGTTACCTCAATCAATTGCATGCAGTGAGGCAGGTATAGACACAGTATTGGTCTTGTCTCTCCTCCCCATGGTGTTTTCTGATTTTCTTTTTAACTTAAAGGACAGTAGCAGTCAAATTTATGACCACCAAATTGACACAAACTTTTCAATTTGATTTTTAACATACTCAAATATTTACCAGAATTTTAAAAGATCCATAGGAAACAATAAACAATGCATGAAATCCTAATAAAGTATCGTCATTCCGTGCATATTTTAGATTAAACGCCATCTAATTAACCATAGAGAGGACCTCTGAAGACTGCAGATGCTCATATTACCAGATATTAACATATATATACAATTAACTCTCGTCTCAAACTCGGTTGAATCAAAATTTCCTGTGGTACCAAACTTTGAAATAGAAATATGAGTATTTCGACTCCTGATGAGTTGAAACTTTGGTTGACTCGAACCAAATTTACGGTCCAAAGGTTAACAAAAGCATTCAAATTGCATTATAATTCTCAAACTAATACACATATGTCAAATAAAATTGAGAATGGAAAATGGGAATATGTCAAAGAGACAACAACCCGACCAAAGAGCAGACAACAGCCGAAGGCCACCAATCAGTGATTTTGCTAGCGCTCGTCACTTTCGTAATTTACGAAACTGTTTTCAAAATGACAAAAGTATTTCAAATCAATTTCGTCACTTAAATTTGGAAAGTGTAAAAATATTTTCGCATGAAAATACTATAATTCTACCTGTCTACATGTTTCTGACAAGTTTATGACCCTCAGCTAATTAACATTTACAAGTGTTATAAAGTTGTGATTACAGCTAATCCGCTTATCGTCATCGGATGGGTCACTAATCCAGTTAATTATTTTCCCCAGTAAAATTAGTCAGTCTGCATTTTAATTTCAATATTTCTCAAGGCCAACGACCACAATTTGCAGTTGGTTTGTCATAGTTTTGTCATTTGAACAAAATTGTTTCCCCCTGGACAGTTCGCTTTTTAATTTCAATATTTCTTAAACGATCATAATTTGCAGTTAGTTTGTCGTAGTTTCTTCAAATGATCGTATTTTCGTCATCTTTGATATATAACGTTCAATTTCGATTAAAAAGATAGAACTTTATTCAAAACGTTCAAAAATGTTTTCACGTTAAAAACTTCCAGCATCAGCAACGAGTCAAACAGGTGCTTCCTTTACGATATACTGCGCATGCGTGAAAGTATTCCTATGAATTTAAAGACACTAAAACGTAAAATACGAAATAAATTTAGTGCCAAAATAAATGAGAGAGACAAATATAGTTCTTACTAAGCAAATTGAAATATAAAAATGATAATTTCCTGAACCAATCCGTAGATGAATCCGGATTCATTCTGAATTTATTATCTACTTGTCACTTCCCGTTTACATTTCAATTGAAATCAAAAGTAAACGTGATAAATTCTAGATTAATTTACAATTTACAGTTATTGGAATCGTTCCATGTGAATTTGTACAAATCCTTGGTTCCAATTTTATAGAAATTAATTCAAAATATCGATTTTAAACATTTTATATAAAGGATAATGATTATGCAGTGTAATAGTCTTACAAAGTTCAACAAGTTCATTTATACTTTGATTCTTGGTTTTAAAAAAAGGAACCCAACATTTGTTGATCAGGAATGTCCCCTGAAACTAATTGAAGTAAAATTTTGAACTAGATTTTCAGATCTTATATCCTAATCTTCATATTTAAGTGACACCTCAGTCAAATCATGCAATTACTGCCTAGTACATTAATGCCTAAGTCCTGCAAAGTCTAACAAAGATGTATAGCTAGTAATATACATACATCCTTGGTTCCTTGCTGTTACCCAAAATAATGTTGATTTTCATCTCGCGCAAAAGTGACTAAAGCCCTCAAAATCCTAGCTTAAACCCTGCCACCAATGGGTCTTCAATGCAGCGAGAAAATCCCGCACCCGAAGGTGGTCCTCAGCTGGCCCCTAAATCATGTAAATAAAATTGTGTGCTAGTTCAGTGAAAATGGACGTCACACTAAACTCCAAAACATATAAATGAACTAAAATTAAAAAACATACAAGACTAACAAAGGCCAGAGGCTCCTGACTTGGGACAGGCGCAAAAATGTGGTGGGGTTAAACATGTTTTGTGAGATTTTTTGTTTTGTCAAAACATGACCTCTGGGATTTAAATTGATTGAAGAGTTCATCTGACAATACACCTGTAATTAAATTTTTGGTCACTGACCACTCTATTGATTTATGACATTCTTTTTCAAGAAGTGTTTACATAAGATTATCTTATGATCACTATGATAAATAATTAATGATACATTGTTGTAGTTTATGAAAAATTATTTAAAATGTTTTAAAAACAATTTGTAATCATACATTAATGAGCTTGGTTGATGCCTAAAGTAGACTTAGTTGTCATCTCATTACTACTCAAGCAGCGTCCTTTTGTATTTTCTTTTGCAGAAAACGATTGAAATAAAAGAAAATGAAAAGAAATATAAAATTCCTTGTATACGAGAATGTACAATTTGTCAACTTTAAATCACGCTAAGATCAATTGGAAATTACTCTCTCAGCTAAAAACCACAGCAAAAAATTGTAAATGTACAGAGAAATAAATAAGAGACAAAAAATCATGTAATTTTATTATAATAATAAATGACCATTACATACGGATACATCGATCTCAGACCAGAATATAGACACCCCTTCCCATATGCATCTGGATTTATTTTATCATTACCATGCTCAGCAAGAGTTGTGTCCCTTGGTCTGTCAAACTTCCAGTATTCTTTTGAGTCGAACTACAGGTATCTTGAAATCAGGGCTCAAGCTAGCAGGCGACTGGGGCGAAAAAGTCGCTTTCCCGTCCGTCACTTCGCTTTGCCCGACAGTCAAAAGCAATATCAAGTCACCCTGGTGTTCACAATAGTCGCTTGCAGTTGCTTTCGTCCTTGGCAATTTCCCTTACTTACAAAGTCAATGAAACAGCATATTTTTCATTTAAAAGTGAAGAAATTCAAAGACATAAACGATTTATTTCTTTAGAAAGGATGTGAAAGTATTGACTTTACAGATTGATCGTATGTTACTTTTATGAAGTATTTTCTTTCATTTCCAGTACTTGTTACTCGAGATCGTATATCAAAACATTCTGATTTTCGGCAAAATAAGTTTGTTACAAAAATGTACTTCATTAGAAAGTGATCAAAATTGCTTTCAGTTAATGTTTGATCCATTGATTGCATTAAAAGCGTCATACTCCTTTCCCGAATCGCTTTTCAAACTTTGTTTATTTTCGTAAATTTTCTTCGTCCACCATTGAAAAATTTGTACGAACCAAGGATCAGAGGCGGCATTCATCCGAAGCGGACCAGCTACGACCGAAGTCTGTATTCTTACCTTAATAACTACAGACGCCTGAATTGAACAGCTGACCAAAGAATAATGGCCCAAAAAGTGAAAAATATGCATTCCACACGCATTAATAAACTTTTGGTTAGATCCCCTTGCTAAATGTATATATTTCCATGTAAATGCATTGTTTCAATTTATTGATGAAAGTTGCTTAACTTTGTTAAATTTACATATCTTTTTAATGAGAAACAGTGAATTTCATTATAAATATGATAAACATAAAATTTTTTAATTGCATTTTAATTGATATATGGTAATTTCTTTTCCTGTTTGATATAAAAAAGTTCTTTTAAGTGCAAGATATTTAGTTGGTAGATTCTGACAAGAAGATTAATATAATTATGCAACTATAAATGACTATTTAAGACATAAACTGAAACAACTGTTTCTTTAATTGACTCATATATGAATTGAACACCTATATATAAAAAAGGATACATATGGCCCTTTATATTATTGTAAAAACCAAACATTGTAGCGCCGCGAGCGAACAAGCACTTCTCTTTCAAATCTCACTACTTCTCCCTACCAGTTTCAAAAAGAGAAGTCACTTCTCCGTATGATTTTGAAGTAGTGTGAGCCCTGTTGAAATATTTCTCTGGTGCGGCTGACTTCGAGATTACGAGAGTCGACTAAATATAAACAGACAGACAAGCATGTGCAATAGTATACTGACTATTTTTGTAGGTCTGTTTTATTTCATGTCATAGATTACAAATGGATTAGAAAAATATTCAAGTCATCATTTTACCTGCATGTTTAAGAATAATGTTTGATGGACAGATTTAGTCAACAAAATGGTTCTTCTTGGTGGCCTCCTTGTTTCATTTTTTAATTGTGACATTCTTTTTTTTCTCCATAAATGAACATGCTGATCACATGTGCAACCCATCTCCAGCTTAGGGTCAAATTAAGGGTTGCATGCATAAGGCCTAAAAAAATTTGAATTATTGTATTTCAAGACAATCATATATCACCATTGTTTCTGAGCTTATTTTTACAAAGTTGAACCAAACTGGTTGCATATAGCGAATAATAACCTGCTTTTAGTAATGTTTGAAACCCAAAAAATTGTTCCTTAATTTTTTTGTCATTTCATTAGCAAAGAAAGTTAATGAAACTAGGTAAGTAGGGTTTGTTCAGTAATATATCAAATTATTGGTAATTCTTCATTTTAAAATGTTTATTCCATACATAAAATTTATTTTAATTGTTATGAATTCTGGTAACTAGTAGAATATTTTGTAGGTATTAGATTTGATAAAAGAAAGGTCAAATATATGTAATCAGATACACCTACCTGCTCAGAGTGGAAATAGTGAAGTTTTACAGAGAATGAGACGAGGCTACACAAGAGAGGCCTACCTAGACCTTGTCTATCATATCAGACATAGAATACCAGGTAATAAGGATACATTTTTTGGGAAAAGATGGCTTCAATGCATCTTATGACCTTTAGGGTTGGCCCGACGTTCATTTGTACTTTTCAAGGCTCTCACGTCAACCATTTTGTGCTTTATAGTTGGAAACAACTCAAAATCTCATACTGCTTTGATGAGAAGGTGATAAACAGATGAACAGATTGGCTTTAAGGACATTTCCCTTCTGTTGCTTGTGAAATTATCTCCCTTTTTTATGTACGCTTCTTTTACAATCCGGAAAATCAGTATTACGAAATATTCCAAAAATATCTAACTAAGTGACATCATATGGTGCGAATTTCACACTTCGCAGTAGTCAATTACTGAAGCATGGATATCCTTTACTCATTATAAGAACCATTGGAAGAAATCGTGTCCAATTATGAAATTCTTAATCGTTTATTAACATAATTGATCATAATTATGAATGATGATCCTTCATGAAACAGAGAACTATTTTCCGTGTGATATTCACGCAAAACAAAAAACCTAACATGCTGTTAATGTGATCTTCCCAGTTGTTATAAAATTGCTTGTTATGTTATAACATTTGATTTGTCGACAGATCACACACTCAATCTGTTGCTAGTCAAAATAGTCCCGAAAGAATGTCAACCTTTCTCGTCAGATGAACTCTAAGTTCATAAAAATTTTCGAAGTTTTAAGAATCAAGTAAAACAGTTATACCCATGCCTATACCAGAACTACCAACTGGGCTAACCTTGGTTAAGCTGATTTGGTAAATGAAGTACTACCACTGTTTAAGGCTATTTCTTTCATTTCTCACATGCACACAGTTTGGTGTACTTTCAGTCTCTTAAAATCAGACTGTATCTAGAAAATACATTATTGCCTCCGTTTGTAGAATATTTTGTGGTTTTGTTTTTTACACATGATTTAATAAACAATGTAACTAATTTATTAACTTTATAATTAGTTTATCTGAGATTAAGTTCCAGTTCAGTCTTCTTAGTGCATTGAATGAAGCTTTATTGGATCAGTTTGGTACTTGCTGCAGTACCTTGTTTTTCTTCTTAGATAATCACATTTATTGTCTCGAGAAACATAGGGATTACAATTCGGCGATGGCGTAAACTATTTATATAAAGCTTTCTATCTCAGAAGGTAGAAGACCTGGATGCTTCATATCTTGTATGCAGATGCCTTATGTTACCAATTTTCTGTCTGTCGTATGTCCATTGTCCTTGACCTCATTTTCATGTTTCAGTAACTGCTTGAAAAAAAATTATAGTTTATTTGTCATGTGAAATACTCACTTATTTAGAGTAATAGGATAACTATATTTAGTATATATGCCTTACTTGCAAGGTCTAAATGTCTGTCAGACAGGGTTCACCTGACCTCAACCTCATTTTATGCATCAGTGATCAAGGTTAAATTTACATGGTAAAGTCTATATCTCAGATACTATAAGTAGGTAAACTATATTTGGTGTATGGAATGATTGCAATGTGTACATGCTCGACTGGCAAGTTTCATCTGACCTTGACCTCATTTCAGGATTCACTGGACAATTTAAGATTAGTTTTTGTGGTTTCTCTTTTTTTCAGATACTATAAGCAATAGGGCCTTTATTTTAATATATGGGTCAGTCCATTCACACAGTGTTTTACATAGGAAAAATTGCAACATATGTTTTCATATGTTTAACATATGTTTTTCATATGTTTGAAAACATATGTAAACATATGTTTAGGCCCGACATGAAAACATATGTTTTCGAACATATGAAAAACATATGTTTTTAAAATCATATGAAAAACATATGTTTTTCATACATGTAAACATATGGAAAACATATGTTTTTCATATGTTTTTTACAAACATATGTTTTTCATATGTTTTCATACCCGGCCTAAACATATGTTTTCATATGTTTGTCCTAAACATATGTTTTCATATGTTTGGCCCAAACATATGTTTTCATATGATTTTATCTTGGTCCTGAATATATATTTTTTATATGTTTTTAATTGTTCAAATGCATTTATTTTCTCATAGATTCTCAACATGGTTTGTATATATATGTATTTTTTTTTGCGGTAGGTTTTTTAGAGTTATGTTTTGATGTTTTAATATGTTTTTCTTTGTTATCTTTTTTTCTGTCAGGAACTCATTTTGAGTGTAAATACTTCATTGTGATGAGTTGTTGCTTTAAAAAGTAAATAACCCAAAATACCAAACTCCACAGAAAAAACATGGCAAAATCAAAAGCTCAAACAAATAAAAAACAACTGTATACAGGCATTCTTTTATGCAGAAAAATAACAGTGCTCCATAATTTTTATATCAAGTAGAATTTTTTTTTTATTAACTTGTTGTCTCTTCTATTTTCATATTTTTGTCTCTTTGGCATACCACATTTCTATTGTCTAGTATATTCTATTTTGGTTTGTTTGTCTCTTCGACATTCACGAATTTTTCTATTGTCTATATTCTATTTTCATATGTTAGTCTCTTTGACATACCCCATTTCTATTGTCTATATTCTATTTTCATATGTTAGTCTCTTTGACATACCCCATTTCTATTGTCTATATTCTATTTTCATATGTTAGTCTCTTTGACATACCCTATTTCTATTGTCTATATTCTATTTTCATGTTTGTCTCTATGACATACCCCAATTTTATTGTCTATATTCTGTTTTCATATGTATGTCTCTTTGACATACCCTATTTCTATTGTCTATATTCTATTTTCATATGTTTGTCTCTTTGATATACCCTATTTCTATTGTCTATATTCTATTTTCATGTTTGTCTCTTTGACATACCCCAATTATATTGTCTATATTCTATTTTCATATGTGTGTCTCTTTGACATACTCCATTTCTATTGTCTATATTCTTTTTTCATATGTCATTATGTGTGTCTCTTTGACATACTCCATTTCTATTTTCCTATGATGTATGTGATATTTCTATTGCTATATCACCATACACAGATATTTAATTGTCTTCACTGCTGGCTATTACTGGTGCATTTGTATGCAGCTGCTTTTTTGGAAATATCCTGTATGATTAAGAAAGACAACTAAATTGACTTTGAGCTTTGTTTTAATCTAAAATTAATGTTCTTTGGTTCTGTTTCTTTACTTTTCAGTTCCTGCAAGTAAAAATAAAAGAACAGAGTTACAATGTCCACCTAGTCGTACATTTTTTATCTGTCAAGGGGTAATATTAAAAAAAAACATGATTTTTTGCTCTTTGGTCAGGTTGTAGTCTCTTTGACATATTCCCCATTTCCATTCTCAATTTTATTTTTTGTTCTCAAAAATATTTATAAATAAAAATGTGCTTGGGGGAAAAAAGTTCTTTTTCTTGTATACTAAATATTTCAAACCGATCTTCAAAGGCATTACTATAATAGTATACTACATGTATAAGTTTAATAAAAAAATGAGAGCATTTACGAGGCCATTTTCCATAAATTTATTATTTCCAAGGGGCATAACTCTTTTGAAAAAAGTTGATCGGCCAAATTTATAAAACTTGACTAGGATTATGCTGATATTAACCTATAGAATAAGTTTTAAAAAATCTGGCAAGAATTGTACCTGCAAGACAAATATAAACACCTTACAATAATTCCATAAACATAAAGTAGTTCACCTATACTTTTAGTATCTAAAAAAAAAGACCAAATCAAGAGAAATTTAATATTGACCAATGAACAATGAAAATAAGGTTAAGGTCAGATGAAGCCTGCAAGATAAATGTAAAGTTAAACCTGAACACCTTACAATTTCAATTTACAATCATTCCAGAAACCAATTATAGTTCACCTTTACTTTATAGTATCTGGAAAACAGACTAAGCAAGAAAAAAATATCCAATGAACCATGAAGATGAGGTCAAGTTCAGGTGATTACTGTCAGACCCATTGGTGGCCTTTGGCTGTTTTTTGCTCTTTGGTCGGGTTGTTGTCTCTTTGACACATTCCCCATTTCCATTCTCAATTTTAGAACAGTACACCTTACAAACATGCCATACACCAAATATAATTTACTGAATGCTTATAGTATCCAAAAATTAGACCAAAACATAAAAAATTATTACTGAACCATTAAAATGAGGTGAAGGCCAGATTACAACTACCAGTTGGACATCTACACCTTACAATAATTCCATACACCAAATATAGTAGACTTGTTGCTTATAATACCTGAGATATTGACTTGACCACGAAAACTTTCTGACAGAGAAGACAGACACTAGGACCTTGCAAGGTACCCACATACTAAGTAAATATAAATATCCTATTACCATGAATACTATAAATAATATTCATAAGAGAGAAATTATGAGAGAAATTAACATTACAAAAAATCTTTATTTTTTCAAGTAATCACTGAACCATGAAAATGAGTTCAAGGACAATGGACAGTTGACTGACAGAAACTTCATAACATTACATATGCATCTATATACATTGTACATAGTATGAAGCATCCGTGTCTTCCACCTTCTAAATTATAAAGATTTTAAGAAGATTGTTAACCCCACCATGGATGCAGCCGCCTGATCAATATCCCTATGTCGAGCTTTCTGCACTCATCAAAAAAACTAAGCCCATTTATTAGTTGAAATACAGAAAAATGAAAAAGAATATTTTCAAAATTTTGCCTTGGATACGTATACTGTAGTTTGGTCATTAAGAAGCTTCAAATATTCTGTCTCAATTTCACTAAATCCAATGTCTGTTTGACAAAGTTATCATATTCAAAAAAAATTTAACCACAGACTGAACCTAAATTTTAGGACAGCGACGCCGCCTCTGGCAGAATCTAGGATCACTGTCTCGCTTTCGTGAAATAAATTTGCAAGCTTGACAAAAAGCAGAACATGTATTTCAGATATTGAAATTCTAAGCAATTATAAATACTTATAAGCTGTTATGGTCCTACATATTCTTGTGTGTTCAATATTTTGGCATTACACAAAGTCATGCTTTCTTAGACTGTTTGAAATGACAAATGTTTTGTTGTTACATTAATTGATTAAATCTGTCGAAGGTGAACTGAAAGATATTTTAGTTTGGGAAAACATAATTTTTGCATCTTTTATTATTTTGTTATTTCTTTTTAAGTGCTTGTTGATGAGTCCAGCCCTTTCTGGCTGATTCTAACATTTGGTTCTTATGTTGGGTGCTGTCTGCCATACTGTGTGTAGTTTTATTTTTTTCATTGGTTCACATTTTTTCATCCTTAAACAAGTTACATGTATAGCCATAATAGGTTACTTTATGGTATGGATTTTGATCATTGTTTATGGCTGTACAGTGACCAGCAAATGTTTACATCTTCGTCCTTTGGTTTTTTAATTGATAGTTGTCACATTCAGAATCATACATGTACCTCATCTCCTTATACATGTTATATCTATATGCTGGTTCATAAAAAAAGCTTAAAAGGAAATTATTCAATTGTTATACATGTATGTTTGAAAAATCATTCCTATAATGCAAAAACAATAATCGATTGACTTAACTTGCTTATTTTAATGTTCAGTGGCAAATATTTTACAATGTATGTATATTCAAGACGAGAACAACTTTTAAATATACAATTCATAATATAAGCAAATGCTATAATTATTTGAAACTTCTGACATCTCATGCGTGTGTGTGTGGAGCAGAAGAAGGAGAGCAGGGTAAGGATTCCTTGATGCATACTTGACATCAGAAAGACATAAATAAACAACAGTATACATGCCGTAACATGTACAATTACACTTGAAAAAGGTTTAAATAGATAACATTAAATTATTTAAATTAACTGCAATTCTACAGATGAACTTACTTTGATACCAGTTCTTTTTGCCGGACATCCGCATTTACATGTACACCAGTGATTCTAATACTGCACTTTCCTTTTATTTGGTAACCATGAACATTGGTAATAAGCTAAAATTGTAAATCTTAATATGATCCAGAACGCCAGACAAAAACTAGATCATTTTTGTAGATGAAGTATGAACTGATGCTCAGAGTCACTAATTTATATTTTTACTTTTGAGTGAATGGAAAAAATGTGTAAGCAAACAACAAAAAGATCAACAGTGTAACTAATATTAATAATATATGTATAGCCTAAGCCCGTCTTAGTATAGCATGAACTTTTTCTAATATAAAATCATCTATTCTGCTGTCTACAGTTTAAAATAAAATGCTCCGCTGAGCGCAGCTTGATACGACCGCAGAGGTTGAACCCTGAACAGTTGGGGCAAGTATGGACACAACATTCAAGCTTGATACAGCACTGAATTTGGATTGTGATTAAATATTTGACACAGCATAGGTTTCTGACACAGAATGAATGTGGTCTAAGAACTTAAAAAATTTTAATTTACCTATTCAAACCATATCATTATTATTTGCTTTTATATATAAATCAGAAATAACCAATTTAAAATGGAAAGTTTTAAAGAAAAAAAAAGGAAAAAAGGAAAAAAAAATCCCTCCCCCAAATTTTTTGAACCCCCTTATGATTCATCACCCCAAACTCAATCCCAGCCTTCCCTTTGTGGTATGGTACCTTGCAGTACAATTTCAGAGAGACCCATACACTTGAACACAAGTTATTGTCTGGAAACTAGAAAAATGCTTGTTTTTAGGCCCCTTTTTGGTCCAAAATTCCTAAACATTTACGGAAATTACCCCCAAACTCAAACCCAGCTTTCCCTTTGTGATATGGAACCTTGTAGTACAATTCCATAAAGATCTATACACTTACACACCAAGTTATTGTCCTGAAACTAGAAAAATGCTTGTTTTTTGCCCCTTTTTGGCCCCTAATTCCTAAAATTTTGAGGCAATTACCCCCAAAATCAATCCCAGCCTTTCCTTTGTGGTATGGTACCTTGCAGCGCAATTTCAGAGATCCATACACTTGAACACAAGTTATTGTCTGGAAACTAGAAAAATGCTTATTTTTGGCCCCTTATTCCTAAAAGTTTTGAGCAATTACCCCAAAACTCAATTCCAGCTTTCCCTTTGTGATATGGAACCCTGTAGTACAATTTCAGAAAGATCCATACACTTACACTTACACACAAGTTATTGTCATGAAACTAGAAAAATGCTTGTTTTTTGCCCCTTTTTTGGCCCCTTATTCCTAAAATTTTGAGGCAATTACCCCCAAAATCAATCCCAGCATTCCCTTTGTGATAAAGAACCTTGTGGTACAATGTCAGAGAGATCCATACACTAACACACAAGTTATGTCTGGAAGTTACAAAAATGCTTATTTTTGGCCCCAATTGGTGCCTAATTCCTTAACTGTTGGTACCATAATCCCCAAAATCAATCCTAACCTTTCTTTTGTGGTATTGAACCTTATGGTAAAATTTCATAGAGATCCATTCACTTAACCTAAAGTTAGAGTGCGAAAACCAATGTGTCTTCGGACGACGACGCAGACGCCAACATCATCCCAATATACGACCGCAAAATGTTTTTGCGGTCGTATAAAAAACAACATTTAGGCATTAACTCTTGATGTTTATTAAATCTTGATTTCCTGTTACATAGGAAAAATTATTTAAATACACCATTTATAGGCATGTTGTGGAATCTCAATAAATACTTATATGATTGCAATGTACGTTTAATCGTTGTTGTAGCTATGAATTCTATACAATAACGTCATTCACTACAGCGTTAGGGTTACAACGTTACCATAGTTCAATGTTAGTACTTCGCATATACTATTTTCAGACAAGGCAATATTAACTCATGAACATAATATGTTGTCATTTGTGTTACCATCCATACTTCATGCAAGAAACAGCGCTTCAATGTACCTCGCCCATTAATGGATATAAAATTTGCTGTCAAAAAGCAAAAAATATGTATGTTCTTTTAACCTTTTTCATTAATTATAAATAATCTAAAAGAAATGAAGACATGTATGGGATTGCTTGCAATGCAATTTTTCTTACAATATATATTTCCAAGAGGTATAACTACTGTAAACATATTTGATCAGCACTTATTTTCTAACTCATAAAACTAAAAGACCATGCTGGTATAGACCTATGGTATGAATTACAAAATATCTAACAAAAAAATGTAACCATAACAGTGCTTTACTGGTTATCTTCCATAGAATTTACATTTCAAAGTGAAGTAATTCCTGTATAAATAATTTATCCAAGACATTACTGGTATATAATAAACCTTTGGTATACATTAATATTATATGAATAAACTTTAGATATAGAAGTATGTCTTCTCTGTATGAAATCCTGTTAATTGATTTCAAATGTTGATATTCAAATGACAATGCTTAAACATCCAAAGTCACACACCATCCATGACTTGACAAAGTTTCAAAATCAATAGACCATGACTGAGGGGCTGGGCAAAATAAAAACAAGGGATACGAAATGTGCTAGTACTCTGACATATACAACTGCATACCAAATATCAATGATTTATCATTATTGGTTCACTCAAACTGACCTAATCAGAAACTTTTCACATTTAAGTTAAGTAAAAATATCAAAGTCAATCAACCATGACTGAGGGATTTGGACCATATAATCTCAATGGAAATGGAAATGAGAAGTGGATATCTTTCTTCTACTACAAAAATTATTATTGACTTATTTAACCATAACTCGGCCATAAGTTATTGTTTGGTTCCTCTTAAACTGACCTAATCTCAATTTTTAACAAATTGTTTATGACTTCGCCTCTGTTAAAAACAGCATGCCCAAGACTCACCTTCATGACTTGTTGCAAGACAAAAAAAGAACAAGCAATGAAGTGTTAATAGAGCTTCCAACCCTATTTTCTATAAAATTGACCTGTAAAAAATATTTGTCACTGCTTATAGAAACAACAAGAATCAAAACTTTCAACTCTATCAAAACTTGCAACATGTATACAGAGTTTGACAACAACTAAATATTTAAACAAAGTTATCCTCTTCATTACATACCTCTCATCACAAAATTATTCATTGACTACTGCTCCTTTTATGCACATAAATCAATATGACAATCTATGAATCCATTATATAATCTAGAAAGCAAGGCCTCAAATGAATTCTGTTCTGTTGAAGTACATGTACAAAATGTACTTTCATTGAAAATGCTAAAAGAAATAATGTACATGTATAACATGTTCAAATGTATAATAAAATGAAGTTACAATATATCTGCCAAATTGCCTTAAATATTTTTATATGGCAAAATTGGCTTATTTTGATCTTTTAAAACAAGAACAACAGATCTAGACTTGCCCTGTTTCTTGTTGCTGTATATCATATTTGTTTATTTGTTCCTTGTTTTGTTTATAAATCATTATCAGTCTGTTAGTTTCCTCATTTGCATTGTTTTACATTTGTCATTTTCATTAAATGTCTTTTATAGCTGACTTTCTGGGATGGGCTTTGTTCATTGTTGAAGTCATCTTGTACCATAACTTATACTTGTTAACTTCTATGTCATTTGATCTGTTGTGGAGAATTGGACTCTTCTCATTGGCAATCTTACCACATCTTCTTATTTTTATATTCACATTTAAGTAGATGTAAAGTAGACCATTCATGCACTCTAGGGTCCACTTCTTATAATGTACAAGGTGATAAGACCTGCCACTGTAATAGCCTGGGTCATATTTTTCAGCTTAAAAATATGTGAATAGGTGTGGAAAACTATCAGAAGTATAATACATGTATGATAAGGCTGAGAATTACTAGATGTTTATTGTTATAGTACTCAGTAATAGTAGTCTCAGACTCAGGATAATTAAGGCTTATTGTACTTGTCATATGATGGGGGGTAGGAGGGGTCCTGATCCCGAAATCCCGGGCTTAAAAACATGGAATCCCGAGGTCCCGAATTTAAAAAAATTTAAATCCTGACATCCCGAAATTCGAAAAAAAGAATTCCCGGATCCCGAAAGGATCAATCCCAAAATCCTGAGCTTAAAAACACCTGATCCTGGGCATGGAGTCCCGATAAAGGTCCTACCCCCCCTCTCATATGCAAAGCCCAGTAATTTTCTTACATTTGTGTAGTTGCAAGTCTCGTTTTGCCTTAATTTAACATAAAATAAGGAATTTGAGCCTCAGATTTGAGCTTTAATCAAATGTGATGATTTTCTCGGTAATCGCCGGAATGTGATTCTTGTCCGCTCCTGCATGTCCTGGAATCACTCATAATTAAAATTGGGAAAAGGTTACATGTACATTATTACCGACGCGATGTATGAAAAGGTATATATATATTTTTTAAATCTAAATTATATGAAAAGAGGGGAGTAATTGATCCCTATCTATTAAGTGTAAAATAGCTAATAATTGCTAGAGAGATAATAAAGTCGTCTACACAGTTTCATGGTTTTAAAACAGCTGATAAACAAATACAAATACCACACATGTATCATAAGATATACAGGTCTGTATCAGTTAAAGTAATTAAGTTCTGTTGTGACATTAGATAAACAATTTCAATACACTACATCAAGTATATGATGTCCCTCCCCCTTGTATATGATGCCCCCCTTTTTCCAAGTTTGTCTAATTGTCTAAAGGGCTTACAAATTATTTGGTTATTTGGGATGTATTTGTGTCTAAATCTTGTAATATCCTCATTATGAAATATAAATAGATAATGAAACGGATTACCCAATGCAATTATATTTATATTACAATATGAGGGTGGGGTTCCGATATCGTTCTCAGGTTTACAAATATCTAGTCAAATAGTTTTTCGTGAAAAATAAAGCACACACATCTTCCTGCTTTAATCCAATAATTAAACAAAATGTGCATAATAATATTTACCTTTCGTTGCGCTTTTAGGGTACGTAAAATTATCCATCAAAACAAAAACACTTTGACTTTCGTTGCGTTGACTTTCGTTTCATAAATTTTCTATGTTTCGTTCCCTGGTTTCTTCAAGTTAATCGACAAGTCACCCATTTCAATTTATCTGTTTATAATAAATTTTTGATTCACCAGTTCCTTGTATCATCTATCTCTGTCCATTCTTAAAAACTTTTAAAAAGACAGCAACAGATGATCGCGTGAGCGTCCATGGATTTTGCGTCATAGTATAAAAACGGTAACGGTGAAAAGATTTCCGGGTTTTGTGTTCGACGTACCATGCAAGCTTTCGTACATTTACGTATATTTGAGGGTCTGGAATCAAGATGGGGGTTTAAGAATAGAAAATAATGACAAAAAGTGCAAAATAAAGAACAGATAGTAAAAAAAACAGAAATATAGAATAAAGAATCATAGAGAATAATGGGATTTTAATAAAAAAAAAAAAAGAATTGAGAATAAAGAACAAACTAAATAAAGAATATTTATTCATATTATTATTTAATATTTATAACTCATTCACTTAATTTACATTCTGTTCAATTCAAAATTAGATAGCTCTGCTGTGGGGGTGACACTGGCAGGGCTGACCTGCTTTCATGATCATGATCATGTGGGATTTAGTGGGAAGAGTAGAAAGTGAACTTTCCTGTTTGAGAAATACGCTATATAGATAATAAATGAAAAAATGTATGTGATAATTAAATGACAAATTTTGACATTTTCTCAAAACATTTTTTTTTAATATCCTTTAAAACATATGAAAACATATGAAAATCATATGTTTTTCATATGTTTACAAACATATGTAAACATATTTTATAAAACATATGAAAACATATGTTTGCTTCCATATGTTTTCATATGTTTCAAAACATATGTAAACATATGTTTGTAAACATATGTTTTTCATATGTTTGGGACAAACATATGAAAAACATATGAAAATCATATGTTTTTCATATGTTTTGAAAACATATGAAAAACATATGTTGCAATTTTTCCTGTGTAGTGGTATAGCAGGGAAAACATATAATATTTTTTTGTTAGGAGCAATTGAATGCTACAAAATGGGCAAACAAATTGCTGATATAATGAAGACATAGGATGAATACTTATATTTTGGTTGGTTGTCAACTTTTTTTTATAATAAAGATTATATTTCAAAAAGGCCTCATTGTTACCCTTTTTAAATGGGACAATTAATACATCACCAAGTATAAGATGAAAAACAAATATGTTGAAAAAATATAGGGTGAATGATTTTTATTCATTTCAGTTCTTAATAGTGTGTTTTTTGTCTTAAACTACTTGTTTTGTGAATTTGATTTGTGAAAATGGGTGATTTTTAACATTTTAATATACTGTTCAAATGTGATTACATTCTGTCAAATTTACATTTACAGAAGATTATTTGTAACGCACATAACAGCTGTCAGTTGAAAGTTAATGTGTATGAAAACAAAGACCTTTATAGTTGATCTATTTGTATTTAGATAATATTGCCGCTGTATATTCTTTCTTTCAAATATCCTTCAACATCAAGGACAACGAACGTGCACATTATTTTCATTTTTATGCCCCATTCATGGGCATTATGTTTTTCGGTCTGTGCGTCCGTTCATTCGTTCGTCCGTCCGTCTGTCCCGCTTCAGGTTAAAGTTTTTGGTCAAGGTAGTTTTTGATGAAGTTGAAGTACAATCAACTTGAAACTTAGTACACATGTTCCCTATGATATGATCTTTCTAATTTTAATGCCAAATTAGAGTTTTAACCCCAATTTCATGGTCCACTGAACATAGAAAATGATAGTGCGAGTGGGGCATCCGTGTACTATGGACACTTTCTTGTTATCCACTATTTACATGAGTCATTATTTAGGACAATTGCTTATATTGGAAGTTATCATCATTGCCTCATTCTAAACAGTTATGACAACGTAGGGTAGCGGAATCTGCCGAGGTTTACCGATTGTACTTTGTCCGTCAACAATTCACAGCATAATAAAGTATGAACAATTTATCACGAAGGTACACAAAATCGAGAAGGAATTGTCTTATACCAATTTCTATATCCAGTAAAAATATGTAGTTCTTAAAAACAAAGAATATATACGTCTGTTGCCAAATACCAAAGTACGCTTAGACCAAGAGGACCTCATTAGGGGATGTGCACGATTGTGATTTGACTGTTTGACTGTTTTTCGTTTGTGATTCTTGACCATCATATTGAAAGTCAAACATCACAATTGTTTTAGATTGTATATGTTACTGCCAATTTCAGGATACGTGCAGAAAATTCTTTTTAGAATAACTCTGTGTTGATTCCTCGTCTGTAACTTGGAATTTCGATCAGTACCAAAAAACATGTAAATAAATAGTTATCACTTAATAGTAACATATGTGATGATGGAACTATTTTTATGTGAACATACACTACGGTCTGGTGCTGTCAACAATCATGTATGAACATATGAAGATTATCATATCCCGATGGTACTTACAAAAAGAAATATTTTTTTCTTTGGTTCATAAATTAAAATAAAAAAACTTTATTGAATCTTGACTTTATTTTCAACTTTATTCATGTAACTAGAAGAAAATTCAAGCAATGCACATATGTGATGTTGTCAATAAGTGTTATTAATAAAACAAAATTGTTTAAACAGACTGTTTTTTGCCATATAAATATAAGATGTGGTATGATTGCCAATATGACAACCTTCCACCAGAGACCAAATGATGTTAAGGTTAATAGCAATTATAGTTCACCCTACGGCTTCAACATGACGGAGCAAAAGCCCACACTGCATAGCAAGCTGCAAAGGGCCCCAAAATGATAAGTTTAAATAGAAATTCAAATGTAAAAACCAACATCCAGATTTATGTACAAAACTATAAAAAAAAAAAAATTTTGATAAACAGCAACAAACAACAACTGGGACAGACACATTTAGAAATTGACATTGAAGGTCGGTTGAGAACTAATAGCTTCTATTATATACTGCTACAAGATTATGTTTCTCAATTAGGTTCTTGCACTGTTGACAATATTGAAAGTACATTAGTTCATAGCAGGAAAATGCTCCTCCGATTACTACATGTATATTGTGTTTCATTTGCATTGATTTGTCCTGTTTGTGAATAATTTATCAAATTTCAGAATGGAGCCTCTTATAATACTGCAGAATGGAAGTGGAACATCATAAATATTGTCACACTGTGATATTAAATACTAGATTATAATAAATATGCATTAAATATTGAATTGCAGAAACTATAAATCCTAGGATAAATATCCAAACTTAATTAATTAGCATTTACGATTAAATTGAATCTAGAAAATCAAAAGATAAATATAAATGTTGTAAAAAGTCACATGTTATACCAGATGTCTAAATGTCAAGTCACATATGTTGAAAAAAATAGCTTTTTTTTCCTTTTTCCTTCATAATATATAAAAAAGAAGATGTGGTATGATTGCCAATGAGACAACTCTCCACAAGAGACCAAATGACACAGAAATTAACAACTATAGGTCACCGTACGGCCTTCAACAATGAGCAAAGCCCATACCGCACAGTCAGCTATAAAAGGCCCCGAAATGACAATGTAAAACAATTGAAACGAGAAAACTAACGACCTAAATTATGTACAAAAAATGAACGAATAACAAATATGTAACACATAAACAAACGACAACCACTGAACTACAGGCTCCTGACTTGGGACAGGCACATACATACAGAATGTGGCGGGGTTGAACATGTTAGCTGGATCCCAACCCTCCCCCTAACCTGGGACAGTGGTGTAACAGTACAACATAAGAACAAACTATAAAAATCAGTTGAAAGAGGCTTAACTCATCAGATGGATAAAAATACAAATACTACAAATACAAGTGGACATGGCCGGGGTACTTGTACATCCAAACAACAAAAAGACACTAAGTACAGATCTGAGAGTACTCGCAGTTACTGACAGCTAGTTCAAAGCCACTAACAACTGATAAAAAAAATCATGCATCTAAGACTAAATTATCAATCCGTACACATCCAACATCCAATGGATTTAGCGTAAAGACGTCATAAACAGTCAGAGAAAAACATGACCTTGTGCAATGCCAAGATACAGGTATCGACAGATTGTAGATCCATGAATTTGTATATGTATATAACAATAATATTTAGTTTGCTTTTAATTTACTGATAACAAAATCAATATTAGTACCAATAAAAACAATATTTAATGATCTAATTACATTGTTGAATTGGTAACCTTTAAGAATAAGTTTATTTAAAGGATCGATAAGTTTACCAGGATCGTTTCTAAATTTCCGGGCACGGTAAACAATATTGAAGTAAAAATGAGGATGTGCAATCCCGTTTGAAATAAGTTTTCTACAGGTACAACCAAACTTCAAAACCAAATCTTTATATCTGTGGAAGAATTTAGTAAAGGTTTTAAGTAATTTGTGATAACGAAATCCCTGGCTTAATAATTTACCAGTAATACATAGATTACATTCGTTAAAATCAAAAACGTCACAACAGACACTGGCATAGGGAACGAGTTGTGAAATATAAACACCGTAAGATGGTGCCAAAGGAACATCACCATCCAAAAAGGGAAAATTAACAATAGGGAACGAAAAATCGTCCCTTTTGTCGTAAATTTTAGTGTGGAGTTTCCCGTGTAAAACCGAAATATCTAAATCTAGAAAAGGACAGTTGTTACAGTTTAAATTTGATTTATTTAAAGTAAGTTCCTTTGGGTAAATTTCGGCAGTATATTGAGAAAATTCTTGATTATTTAACGAAAAAATATCATCAAGATAAAGGTAAATGTTGTTGAATTTATCAATTAAATAATGTCATTAAACCTGTGTTACAAATATAATTTCCATTACATTTGTAAATATAAATTGTTATTTTATGGCAATACTTTTGGGAGGATTTTTTTACAAATAATATATCAATTGCCAAAATATCGATCACATACATGACATATGCTATAACAAAGAAATAAAAAAAAAATCATTTCCCCATCTTCATTTGGTTAATTGTTTCTATTTAAATGACATCTACTTTTGTTTCTTAGCATTGTTGACACTGCTTTCAAAGTGAAGAAGATTTCATAACTAATATTTTTTTAAGAGAATATTTGACATATGTTACAAATGTTGATTGGTAAAAGAAGGCATCCAGAATCAATTTTATAATGGTCAAACTATCTTCTGTTATATTTTTCTGGATGCTTTGGTATATCCTCTTTCTGAATCATTTTTTTTTTCAACCTGTGCCACATTCTAAAATATAACTATGATATGCCCCATTTTATGTCATGGCTAAATGGACAGACCCATATGGATTGGAATGATTGTAAGGTGTACATGTCTGTCTGACAGATTTCATATGACCTTGAACC